GAACTTCGAGTGACTGTCTCGTGTCTTTCCGTGTAGTCAATAACTTGAGTAAAATGAGATATATTAATGAAACTTGGTACCCATGTTATTTGGCACCAAAGAGCCGTCTTTCCGTGTAGTCAATAACTTGAGTAAAAATTGAGATATATTGATGAAACTTGGTACCCATGTTATTTGGCACCCAAGAGAAGTTGGTATTGTAGATAGACACATCCACAAAGTGTCATTAAGCGAAAAACTGTAAAGAATTATAACTAAACTCCAAATCAAAACATAAAACTGGAATTTGGTACTGGGGATCCCATGAGGCCACAGATTTATCTGTGGACTGAAAATTTGTAAAAAGTTGGCGTAGCCCCGGTCTCTAGTTGGTTTAATCTACATATCTCAACATCTCTTTTAAGTTATATCAACCAAATTGACACCGGACAATTATTTTCGGTACGACCTCCGACAGTTGACATCGGATAACAACCACGCACACTCCCCATATAACGGTTATCCTGAAATTTCCTTAAAGGGTGGTAACTCAATAAATATATAGGTCACCAACATTAAATTTTACAAGCAAGATAATATTTGAAGGCTTCATAGGAGCCGGTATCAAAATTGGACAATGGTCATGGCGCCGGCCACATTTAGGTAAAATCCCTTATGTCAGGACCTGCTCTACCAATTTCAACCAATTCGGTACCCAACGCTGTTCATTCACATATAACGGTGTGAAAATAAGCGAAATCGGACCACAATTACGCCTACTTCCCATTTAAGAAAATTTAAAATTCCATATTATTCTTCCAATTTACCGTATACTAATCAGGCACCAAAGAATGTATTGGGATAAAACTTTGCACAAATAGTGCATTTATGGTATTTTATGTCAAGTCTAAAGTTGGGTGTAATCCAATCATAACTTTTCAAAACCACATATACCGATCGTATTATATTGGATTTAATGCAGAAATGGGTAAAATTAGTCAACGAATTACGTCAGCTACCATATTTAGATAACAATTTGAGGACCAGCTAACATATACTATATATATTGATTTCGTTATTTTAGCAGACTTTTCGCCGCATATGTCGGTCAGTGTTTGTGTTATCTTCATATAAAATTGCGTGAAAACATGTTCCCAAATATACTAGAGAAATCCCATAAGTTAACTCAATCAGTAGAGACCTTCTCCTGACCCAAATACACCTGATATAATCAGGGGTGTTGTAGAATCTGAAAGCTGTTAGAATCAGAATTGAAACCGATAGAAAAATGTATTAGGAGTCATAAATTCAGATATTATTGGTTTAACGTTTGAAACAAAAATTGTATCAGTTTATCAGTCACGGAAATCAATTTTATCGGTTTTGTCATCAGAAACAAGGCAAGAGGATAGTCGTTGACAGATTTGAAATGTAAGTTAAGAAATTAATTTATTTTTATTTCTATAGGAACAAACGTAAGAATAAAAGACAAAACGTCATAATTAGATATCTTAAGAGGATTTACAAAACGTAATAAGCGTAATTTAACACCCAAGAGCGTTTTTATTCAGTCGATAATGTGATATAAAATCTGTAAAGCAAGCATGTATACAAGCATACAAGTAAATGAAAGCCAAATTTCACATTCCATTAAGTGGATTACTGTATATTCTTAATATCTTCCTGTTAATTTTTCGTTGCTTTTTTCCAATAAAATAAAAGCTAAAATAGCGCAACTCATTGCAAACTTTAGTAGACTTTATTCAGTATTTTAAATTTATCAAACGCTTCCAAATTTATTCATTTGCAAGTTTTGTCTTGATTCGAATATTGGTTTTGCATATGTTCGAAAAGACGAAAATGCAATCAGATCATGTGACACCCCTGAATAATTTCCGACTTTCAAGCTCACTCTAACCCGTTTTCATAATCATATTGTGGTATAAATCCTTATTCGTATATAATGATTTCCGTTTAACTGGCCAATTTTTCCTCATATACCGAATATATTACATTTAGCTTCTTTGGTTGAATTTCTATCACATACATACATATATCTCATTTGAGTTAACTAGGTTGGTTTTGGTATCAATATGAAGTATATGAAGCAAAATATAGTAGTGAGGCTAAGGGAATCTACTACCTATAATATAATTTAATAAGATATCCTCTCTCTTTTTCGGCGAATAATGAATGTTGAAGTCTAAAGTCCCAACATTTTTTAAATATAAAGTTTTGCCAACACCTTAAAATAGTATTTCCCCATGAAATCATGGTTAAAAAAATCGATTTCCTATACCACATTTGAGATTGGTGCTTGCATGCGAAAGCAGAGAAGCTGGCTTCGCTCGCGGTCCCAAGGCGTGGTCACAGCGGTTATAGGTAAAAACATATATTTTTGCGTTTACTTTATTGGTGTTCTTGAGACTTGTTTACTTGGAAATTTATTATTATTGCTTTTATTTTTTGTAGGGGCGGCTCTTTTACTTCCATGAATTGTCAGTACATTGATAAATTTATAGACTGGCATACTTTTGAATGTTGCTATGAATTGGATGAAATATTTCCAATATTTGATGATTCCCAGAGGATTAATATAGAGAATCAATTTCAACGTGCTTTGTTAGCAATGAAACGAAGTTTATTCGAAAGTGAAATGTTTATAGAGAATATTTGGGTGAATGAATCTTTACCTCTGGATGCATTCGCAGCAAGCAATCGAAAGAAAGTCGCGAATGAAAACTACAAAGCAACTATATTTTTACCAGTAAAATGTCATCAATATAATGAGTATTCGGTTAAAGTACGGAAATTCAATGGTACAATTCGGCTTTCTGGCATTATTTTTTCTAGAGTTTGGTGCAGCAGTAAGAACACCTTGGGTGATGTTAAGCGATTTGTGCAGAATGATATATTACGTTCATTAGCGGCCAGAATTCAAGTTTACTGTGATGGATTAACCGATCCTCATGTTAGCAACGACTCTGTATTTATAAGTGAACCTCCGCGTCGTGTTTTCTTTAACTTATTCGTTGATGGAACAATCAATCCAATACAATTCTCAGAATATATATTTCGCGGAGAAGCTCCAACAGTAGCTGTGGCCCAAGCTAAACAAGTTCTTGATTTAGATATTAGTTTAGAAAATATTGTTGCAGACTTAGAAGGTTTACCCGATGATGAAATATATAGTGATATATCGTTTTCTAATTTACATAAAAATTCTACGCAACCCCTGGTTAATGCAGAAAAATACTTAACACGTTCCATGTACATTTTAAGTATAACCATCTCTCTTTTAGTGCTCTTATGTTCTATTTGGCTGCATTATTTCTTTCCTTAATTATACGTGAACCTAAGGATAAATTTAAAAATAACTAAGCTAAAATTTAAAAAACTTTTTTTGTTTGTTAAATATTCAGTTTTATTTATATTAAATCATGTACATTATATCATGTCTTGTAAACAAAAGGAATTTTGTACCATATATTTAATCAATTATAAAATGGGTTAATAAAAAAATAAAAATTTTTTCGTATATCTATTGTATAATACGTTTTTTTGTCTAAATCAATTTTAATAACTTCAGTGTTCCTGAGTTCAGTGCATCTATTAGCAAACAAGGTAAGCATATTCAATTACCAGCAGACTACTATGTCTGTAAGAGATTTGAGCGATAATTTGATCCGATGTGAAGAGGTTTGCTTTGCAAACTACCGAGAGAACGTTGTATTAAAAATATATTGAACAGCACTGGAAATAATTTGGCATACGACCATATGCTGTGGCCATGGTTCCTGCTCTGTAATAAAATATGCCGTAAGTTTTGAAAATATAAATTCCTCTTATAACTGTGTTAAGAATATTAGCTTTCGAACTGACCATAGCATAGGCCGAATTGTAGCTTCGAATATTGTTTTTGGTTTTTCTTTTTCTAATTCATCATTAGATGTGAGACCGTCATATAATGAATTAAAAAAATAATAAGTTAATAGTAAAAACATTGGATTTTTTCTGTAGACACGAGTAAGCTGCCAGCAGTGTTACCAGCTTGAATTGTAAAAAATACTTGTTTGTGACTTTAAAAGGTGGATGATTTCACTATGTTTAAATTGGTAAGGTAGATCTATCAACTTTTTTTCGTGGTTTTATTAATAAAAACAAATAATTTTAATTTAATAACTATTTCAAAGAAACTAACAAGAATGAACTAAATTATGAATTTTTACAGTAAAAATAAAAACGAATTGTCGGCTGAACAGCGGGATTTAACTGAGGAATTATTGTAATCAGAGTTATTAAATATGAAATTAAATTTTACTTAAAATTAATAAATTTTTTTATATCAATACAAGCTTTTTATTATTTTATTCTTTAAAAAAATACATATTTTGGTTAAATAATTTGAAGTGAGCTTCAGTGGGTACAGGTTGGTCAGAGCTTTCTTTAATAAATTTTTTTGTATGTAGAAGTCCTTCCAAAGTATTAGTAGATAAGTTATTACGACTAGTAGTTTTCAATAGATTTGCTTTACAAATTCAATCAACAGGGGAAACATTTGTGAATTATTGCCTTTTTCTTCAGTGATTAACTTTTTCCGTATTAAAAGAAAACGTCAAGTGTCTTAATAACTCCACTCTCGACTATTGTTTACTAACAATTATGACGTATGACTGTTATATATTAATACATATATAATACTTATGTAAATACATAATCTACATTAAAATAGATAAAATAAAAATAAGAGTGAAGTTAACTGAGTATCGAATTATTGAAAAAATATGGTCCCCGATTCCTCATTGCTACAAAAATAAAGGAGCACGCAGTGTGCGATTCAAATTCCTATCAAAAATAAATAATTTGATTGGTGATAAAAAGTAAAGGTCTTAACATATTATTTTTACAAAAATAAAATTAAAAAAGTTGGTAGATCTACCTATAAGTAGGTAGAGTTGGTAACACTGGCTGAGAGTAAGAGAACAATCTTACGCCGGTGACTGTTTGAAGCATTCGTGTGCTACTCAATTGCATATTTTCTCTATATCTTTGTCTCTTCACTTTCTCCCTCTAATACTGCGTTCAGATGGGGCTCTTTTGTCGCTCGTTACCTGCAAATTCTCTTTTGGTGTCGCTCTGTGCATTNAGCGAAAATAATCCAGCAACTCGAGTCGAGTTTTTCTGTCACTCCTTTCCATAAAATTTTCGCAACTATTAGAGCGGTTCGGCTTGGCGACACTTAGAGCGTGTCGCATGGTTCATTTGTATGTTGGTCTCACATTTTGCTTACAAGAAATTACAATAAATGTGGTAGAACAATATACATAACACCCGATTAAAGAAATACTTAAGTTGGGAATTTTCTAATCCACAAGAATGTTTTTAATATGCTACTAATATTTTCAAATCCAAATTTATGACACGAATTTTCTAATATTTCAAGAAGTATTAGGTTAGGCTAGGAGGTCGATCCTAAAAAGGATCACACTTTGACAGTTTAAACGCCGATCCATTGTGGGTCCTAAAAACTTCTATAAGCTGGATCAAAAGACCCTTAAATGTCGACAAAGCACTTTGTGGCTATAACAAATTTGTTTAGACGGCTAATATTCATTTCGGCTAAGTATTCAGATCCGCCGAAAGTGTGATTGCCGAGAAGTTTCAGTCTCAGCCTATCAAAAGCCAGACAGTGCAGGAGAGAGTGCCGGGATAACCAGGCACCCAAACGAGCCTTATGTTGAAGTGGCCAGATGCTATTTCTAGTAAAGACAGATACTCCTTGATCCTTTGATTGCACGGTTCGCTCGCTAGTTTTGCCGCCCCGCTGTCGCAGTAAATGGTCACTTCTCTAAACGAGGTTGCACTACTTAGCAGGACTTCTACCGCCACCATGATAGCAGCCATATCCGCCTGAAAAGCACTACAGTGGCTTGAAGCTAAGATTGGCGGAGTGCTCCTTACAGAAACACCCCCTTCAACCTTCCCTCCGTAAAAAAAGCTCACCGCGTATCTTCTCCAGCAGCTTCTTCCCAACCATATCTCCCTCGTCGGAATATGAGCATAGAAAAAGCCATCTCGAGGAAAGGAGGAAAGAATTTCGGCATGTCGTTGTTGGGACCTCCTAATAAGCCCAGCTTTCCTTATCCTTGGAGCACACTTTGCAGCAATGCACCTACCGGCAATGTTCATAGGTGCTATGTTTAAAATAGCATTAAGAGCTATCGTTGGTGTGGTTCGCAGTACTCCAGAGATTCCGATGAGCGCCGTTCTTTGGACCCACTCAAGCTTTTGAGCTCTTTCGAGCGCCTTCCACCAGACGAACACACCATAGAACATTATTGGCTTGAATACGGTTTCGTAGAGCCAGAACACCACCTTTGGTGAGAGTCTCGAGCTTTTTCCTAAAGCTCCCCTGCAGCAATATAAGGCGACCGATGTCTTCTTAATTCTCTCCTTAATGTTTGCCCTCCATAAAAGTTTTCTATCCAGGATAAGCTCTAGGTATTTCACTTTATCAACAGGTTGAAGTCGTGAACCCCGAAGGAGGGGAGAAGCACGTTTGGGATCTTATACCGCCTAGTAAATAAAACCATTTCGGTTTTACTTTGGTTGAGAAATTTTCCCTTAACCATAAGAACCACATCATCAGCATAGGCTATCGCCCAACAGCCTTGTTCCTTGAGTTCTATAAGTAGGTCGTTTGCCACCAATATCCAGAGCAGTGGGGAAAGTATCCGTCCCTGCGGAGTTCCTCTGAAAACCTTTTTGGTTGACTTGGTTCTACCCCACTCCGCTGCAACAGTTCTGTCGCAAAGAAGACTAAAAATGAGATGCTTGAGGTTCGATTCCACCTCAAACTTTTCCAGAGCTTTAACCACTGCCTCTGGTCGCACGTTATTGAAGGCCCCCTCGATATCGAGAAAAGTGCCCACAGCGGGAAGTATTACAAACCTATAATTTTTTAACTGCAAATATTTTTCTATTTATTATAAAACATTCATGAATTAATTACAAATCTTATTTTAAATTTTATTTAAAATGATATTCGAACTAAATCCTTCGCTATTAAAAGAAAAAATTATGAAAGCATCGTTTAGAATTCATTTATGTATACATGTATTTTATATTACATTAAATACCGCTAAATGTTATTAAACATTTAAATTAAACATTTTTGAGTATCTTTATTTTCTTCTTATTCACAATATTTCTATTATTCTATGGATAGATTTTTTGCATATTACATACAAAAAATAGATAACGAAATTCAAATATTCATTTGAAACCGAACGCTATTGCAGCTATGAAAAGAATTTCAATATGAAAAGGCATGCTGAATTACGTAGCAGCGAACTGTTACGAACAAGAACACAAGGCGTGCCACCCGAGCGGCACGGTCCGTTCGTCTTTCCTCGTCGTCCCCTCGCTCGCAAAAAACCGGTTTGGGCGACAAAAGAGGCCGTGTGGGAACTAGGACTAAGCTATTTACGGTAAGGCATGATGAAATAGATGTGTACACATCGACGACGCTACACTTCCAAAAATTTTTATTAATTAAATGAATGACTGATTAGCTATAAATATCGTCTTCAGAACATACTGTTATGTTCATAATTTTGTTTACAAATTGAAAATAAAAAACAAATAAACTCAACAATAATAATGGAAGTAATGGGTTATCGTCAAAACACACGAAAAAACTATCTCTCAAATTAAAGTGCTGTTGATGTCGATTCAACCAACTAATTTCCATTGGAAAAAACATGGTAAAAACTATCAAACAACGCACTTAAAATTTAACTAAAAATTTCTAAATCACGAAAATAAAATACACGTTGTCAATTCAACTTTCGTTAGAAGTTGCAACAAGCCAAACGCATGGAAAGAAAACGGAAAAAAATTTATTCACTTCTTATTTCGTTGTTTTAGTTGATATTGTCGATTAAACCAGCTACCTAAAATTAACCTTTGAGAAAAAGTTTCTAACTCGACCAATTAAAACGAATAATATCAAATGTTATTTCCACTTGAATGTGTTTTTTTCATAAACAATACTTGAAATTTAAGGTGCATTAAAAATGTAATTGTTACAGAATTCAGTGTTGCAACACGCAAGCTCCAAACACAATTAAAAGTGGAAAAAACAAACTAAGGGCGTTTTCGGAAATTCAAACTGCGAAGTATGCAAGATGCAACCAGTTCGAAAATTCAAATCTGGCATTTTTACCAAAATTGAAAGTTCAAAGAAGCATCACTATCGTAGCTGTTGCGCAAAACCGAGAGAACTTGCAACATTTAAAAATTAGTTATAAAAAATGTCATTGTAAGTTATTTAAGTTAAATATAATTTTAGCATTATTGTTTTATTATATTTCTAGATTTTTGATTTAAAATTTTATATGATATAGATAAAAGAGAATGCATCAACAGCACTAAAGCTATTCCACAGAGCATGTTCTCCAATTTTGACCACAAATTATATTTCAATTTATTCAACTCCGACGACTAATATGCAGCTATGAAACCAGGAATATTGCT